GTTGGCCTTTCAAAAAGGAGTTGCTATACATACCACACATATATATATATATGTATATATATGTATCTTATTTTAAAGCCAACCGGGGAGCTGTAAATAAATTTGGCATTTAATCATATTTACGGATTTGTGGCGCATTTATTTATGTGTCCCACAGTGGCGCATCTTGGGCGCGGGCCGGTTACCACTCAAGGATTTCGGTTTCTTTTCGGGCCGGCTTCCGGTGCGGCCGCAACGGAAGTGCAGTCGCAGCGACTCGGACGGGGATGGGTACGGAGATGGGGACGGGGACGTGGACGGGGACTGGGCTCAAGTGTGGGCGTGGCGGCCACAAGCCACAAAACGCGCCAATTTGCGCCATTTCAAGTGTGCCAACAACAACGACAACAACACCAAACAAATGTGCTCGAGTTGAGAGTGCACGACTGGGAGATACCCTGAAAAATGTGAACGTCCTTCTGTGCAGAAATACACACCCATACGACAAACTGTTCTTGAATAACTTCGCCGTTTGTTGTCCTATCTTTACGAAAATTTCAGGACTAAATTATTGCACACAAATGTGTACACATACCATAGCTCAGACTCTAGCTTTTATAATAAGTGTTCTTTAAAGTATCTCTTAATTTAGGGTGGAAACCTGGGAAGGCATTTAAAATGTGAAATATTTATAATCTGTGGAGAGCTCTGCGGGAGTACATAAACCAAGTCTTATGTATCTAGCTTCTGTAATTCTCGAGCTATATTTAAAAAGAGCAAGTCTTAAAATCGATATTTACCGATATTATATAAATTGAAGGAAATATGGGGAAAAAAATATAAGCGTAGAAGGAAATTGCGAAACAAAATAAGATAAAACATACGTTAAATTAAAATAAGATAAGATGGCATAAAATATACGATGAGAAAAGATATACAAGAATATATATTTAAAATTTCGAACCTCTAGCATTTGTACTTGTCGAGATTGATCCCTTCATGCAAATGGACAGACGGATAGGCAGGCGGATCGACAATATCTATTCTCTGAGTTCCCTGTGCTTTCTACCGCCTGTTACATACATAAGCACAAAACCAACATACCCATTTTAACACCTTCGCATTGGGTACAGGGTATAACAAGGGAGCAACCACAACAACAACAACAACAACAACAACAACAGCATCGTTGCCTAATTATGCGTTCTGCCTTTGTTATTTATAGAGGCCGATTCGGTCGCCTTTTCTCTGCGGCTCGTTGCCCGTTTGCCTGTTCTGGGCCCTTTTGATGCTGCCCACGAGGCTAATTAGGCCTAAAGCGCGCCCATTGTGCGCACCGTTGCAATGTCGCGCCTGTTAGCCAACATTGTTACGACCAACACACACACACCACACACACACACACACACAATCAGGCCTCTCCGCTGACAGACCGCATTTCCGCTCAGCTGCGCTTTGCGAGTTCATTAATAATTTAAGCATTCAATAAAAGGCGCACAGAAAAGTGCGCGTTCATAAAGTGTCAACAGTTGAGTGGCTTTACAGCTGGGCAAAACGATTTGGTTTGATTCGATTTGCATTCATTTGATGCGATTCAATTTATTTGCCACTCGAATTCGATTTGATAATCATAAATATCAAACAATTTAGCATTCTGTTATGGCCATAATTTATACCCTGTTGTAAGCAGCTGTAATGAATTGGTTGATTGATCTCTAATAACAATTTATTAAAGGTTCGCTGATGAGGGACTAGGGTTGGGCCTAGCACAGTGATAGGATTGGGTACCAAGTTTGAACCCCGTATTTAGCAGCTAGCTGGTATAGGACTAAGTCAAGGTAAGCTTAGAGACAGGTTGAAGTCAGGAGTTTGAAATCCGGGTATAATTTGCTGATAAAAGAATATGGTCAGGGCTTGCTTGGATAGGATCAAATTTTCGAGCCCTAAAGGCAGTAGTTGGCTGATGAAGTCCCATGCTCAGAGCTTTATCAAAGGAGAGACGAAATCACAAGTTCAAACCCAATAGACATTCGACTGATGGAAGAACATAGTAATAGCTAGCTCCGAGACAAGATGAGGTCGAATGTTTAGATACAGATAGAAATGACGAGCTCGCACCCAATAGACCATGGACTAATGAAAGAACATAATCAGAGCTAGCTTAAAGTTATGACAGGGTCACAAGTGCGAACCCTGTGGCCACAGAGAAAGGTCGAATTAAAGAGTTTGAAGCCCATATACCATACCCTACCGAATCATAAGAATCTAGTCTGGGCTAGGATTACAAATAGGAACCTTTAAACCGAGATGTAATTGAAGATGAACCATGGAAAACGTGAGAATTAGCTCCGACTTGTGAGAGGTTCACAAGTTCGAACTCTGTACTTAGCAGCTGGCTGGTAAAGGACCATGAGTTAGCTCAGGGAAAGGGTCGAAGTCACAAGTTCGAAGCCCATGGTTAGACAAGAACAAAGCCATGGAGCTCCGAGATGGGATAGGATAAGTAAGGTAGAGTATTATGTTCAGGGTTAGCTCTAAGATGGGAGTTCGAACCCTGCAGCTAGCAGGCTATTCAATAAAGAGTCATGGACAAGATAAGTTTCGACACAGGACAGGGTCACAAGTTCGCGACCTTTAAGGACTAGTTGGATGGTGAAGAATGGCCAGGTTTAGCTCGGAGGAGACCTGTAGACTAAAAATGGACTCCAAGTAGTGTAAACTTTTCTACCATCAATATTCTTTCACTTGCTGCTTTATTTCTGTATTTTGTACAAGGTATATTTAAAGTCAGGCAACAATTAGCTGCACTTAATTCAAGTTAATGCTGTTTTTGTGTCTTTGTCGCCCACCTGGGCGTAGTTTAATTTGAGTAAGTGTTTCACTTTCACAAGCATTCGAAAATTGTTGCATTTGCGTTGGGCTTAGCTGAGTGTGTGTCGATTTTAATGAACTTAATGCGAGCCGGAGAAGCTTAGTGAGCCCAATTATCAAAGCCATTTAATTGAGCTGCTTATAAATTGAGATATTGTGATAATGTAAACAAGATGTCAGCTCAGGTAAGATTGCATTGAAATTGAAAGGAACTCGAATGACCGCAGGGCTTAGCTGCAATTTATAGCTCCATGGATACCACTCAGATTGTTATATGACATGTTCTTCTTCTTCTTCATCTACTTGTTGTTGTTGTTGTAATTGCTGCTGTTGATTATGTTTATTGTTAAGTGCAGGTGGAAAACTGTCAGGCGCAACACTTGAATGCATTTTCATTACACCTCATTACATTTCACTTCATTGCAACAATTGTGCGTTGCTTTTTTTGTTGTTGTTGTTGTTGTTGTTGCCGCTCGTTTCATGAATTCCATGAATACACGAATGGATCGAGGCACTCGTTTACATAGATGCGAGCATGTTTTTGCATGTAAAATGTTTTTAATTGAAAACAATAAAGTTTCTGGCTTTGGGTGTTGCGCGACGCCAGCGGCAGCCCCTCCCCCCCTCCCCCATCCCCCCTCACTTGCGGCTCGTTTTGCTCTCATCTCTCCAGATACAATGCATAAAATATTCCATAGAAATATGAAATGCTTCAGCCAAATGAGCAGCTTGTGCTGCTAAAGACTTATATGTAAGCGACATGTGAATACACTTTTTGCATGTGTCAAATCATTTGAAGAAAAAGCAAGATCTTTGATGTGCATAAAACTTGTTGGGAATTATAAGGTTTTTGTTTTTTCTTTTTGTGCCTTGATTTCTGAAGACATATTTCATACAATTTTGGTTATTAATGTTTTGTTTTTAAAAAAATAAATTTTAAACTCTCGATATATTTATTCAAATTATTCAAATTTGTATTGCTACATTTGGTTAGCTCCAAAAAGTATGCTATGGACTTGATATATAATTGGACTTTGCTATGTATATAAATAATTATAATTGAATAGAAAGAGAGAGAGAGAGAGAGAGAGAAGAAAAAGTGAAAATATGTTTTGATAGAAGTTCAGCCGGAGCTTTACGGAATTCCAATGTTCGTAGAGAGAATATAATTATAGAATCCATTACATTTTCTCCATCAAAATTGTGCTCAAAATATATGTTGAGTAAATATTGAATAATAAATCTGAAATATCTTCAAAATGATTAACACACAATTTATTGTAGCTCAATTCCATTCCTAATACTCATTTAAAAAAATATAAATATATATATATATATATGTTAAAATGTTGCCCAATTGCAAGACATTTGTGAAATGCCCGATATTAATTTGTTGGTGAGTGTAAATACTCTTGGCAAAGCTAAAAGCTGAGCATTTACGGATTGTGTTTCTTTGTTTCAGGCGTGAAAGCGAGCTGAATGAGAATGGAAATGGAAAAGCCAGTGATACCCAGGCGATAGATAGATACAGACACAGATACGTCTTTTTATATGTGTGTGTGTGTGTGTGTGTTTGTGTGTGTGAAAGCAACAACAATAACAACAGAACGTGAAATGCGAAAGTGATAATTAAAAATCGCGCAGTTTTTGTTGTTGTTTTTCTCTATATATGCTGCATGGTTATTGTGTTGTCAGAAGTGGGATATTGCAATCAGGCAACATGGCGGCAATGTGTGTGTGTGTGTGTGTGTGTGAATGTGCAACATTGCGAATGAAGTGATCAATGTGCCTAACAATGATTGACGGCATTTCAATGAAGTGAAAGGGCTGCTGGGCTGCTGGGCGTTTAGGGGCGGGCTCGCTACAGGCTGGGGCGCCATTGGGGCGCTGCTGGAGGGTCTCATGCTGATGACAAACAATTATGCAAAAATTGCAAGCGTTTGCAATTTTGTACAAAATTAATTTTGCATTTTTAATTTTGCAAGGGGGCTGCCTCTGTCTCTCTCTATGTGTGTGTGCGTGTGTGTGTGTGTGTGGCAGCTTTAGTAAGTAAAAATCTTTAAATAAAAGTGTAAAAAATATATAGCTTATGCTGAGGCAGCAACAAATCAAGCCAAACCAAACCAAGCCGAGCCGAGCTGAGCCGAGCCCCGCCTTACCGAAGCTATCACAAAGGATTGATAAGTGCTCGACTTCGAGCTGGCATCAGGCGAGCCCAGCTCCATAATCTAAAGGCCACGTGTCTATTGTGGCCCACCATGGGCTGATCTCTCAGTTGCTGCCGAAACTCAGCTCATTCGCAGCGAGCTGGGCCTAGCCGCCGGTTGTGCCCGTTTTGAGCAGAGAAGCCATGACGTTCGTTCGGGTTAGTCGGGATCTGCAGCGGGAGCTGGTGCTGTTGCGCCTGCACCTGGAGCAGCCGGCCATGCAGTTTCCAGAGATTTGGCTACGCGACAATTGCCAGTGCCCCGAATGCTATATGCAACAGACGCGCAGTCGCCTGCCGCACGGCTGGAACTATCTGGACACCCGAGTGCGGCTGCAGCAGCTCAGCTGGTGCGTGGAGCAGCAGGCGCTGCTAATAGACTGGAGCGATGGCCACAAGTCCAGCTATGCTTTGGGCTGGCTCAAGGCGCGTGATTTCTCGCCAGCGAATCGCGCGCGTTATTTGCGCGACTCGTACCGCCCCGAGCGACGGCACTGGTCCGGCCTGGAGTTCGCCCAGATACAGCGCGAATTCCAGTACGAGGAGCTGCTGCGCAATGATGAGACGCTGCTGCAGTGGCTGCACCAGCTGGCCGTCCATGGCCTGGCGCTGATCCGGCAGGCGCCGCTGGAGGCGAACGTGCTGCGGCAGCTGTGCAACCGGGTGGGCTTCATGCGGCGCACCACGTACGGCGATGAGTGGAGCGTTCGAGCGCAGCCCGGCGCCAGCAATTATGCGTATTTGGCGGCGCCGCTGCCGCTGCACACGGACATGCCCTATTTTGAGTACAAGCCGAGCATTACGGTGTTGCACACGTTGCAGCAATCGGAATCACCTGGCGGCTGGAATCTGCTCAGCGATGCGTTCCATGTGGCGGATCTGTTGCGGCAGCGGGAGCCGAGCGCCTTTCAGGTGCTCAGCGGCACGCCCGTCGATTGGGCGGACATTGGCAGCGACAAGGAGCTCTACTTTCACAATATATGGCGGGCGCCGGTCATCAAGTAAGTCCCCCCCCCCCCCCCCCTCTCTCTCTCTCTCTATCTGTCTCTCCCTTATCTCTCTTATCTGTGCTGCCACACAGCCTGGATGCCAAGGGTCGTTACGTGCGCATCAACCACAGCATTCCGCAGCGCGACAGCCACTTCACCGTGCCCCCCGAGCAGGTGCGTCCCTGGTACGAGGCCATGGCCATGTTTATACGCCTGGCCAACGAGGAGGCATGCACCTTTAAGACAACACCTGGCGATATCCTTACCTTCGATAATGTGCGCATGGTGCACGGCCGCACTGGGTACGATGATACGGATCACAATGTGCGGCACATTGTTGGCGCCTTCCTCGACTGGGACATTGCCTATTCCCGCTGGCGTGTCCTCCGGAATGCGCTCGGGCATAACAAGTAGCTGTGCATATATTTATCTGCCTTATCAGTAAACAACACGTGAATAAAAAACACACTCTGCCCCTTTGCCCCTCTGCCCTGCAACTGGTTTAATCAGCTTGCAACATTGCGTCTGCTTTTGTATTCAAATAATGTGTTAATAAAGATTATAATATTTAATTAAAATATAAAAAAAAAAACTTGTAATTCATTACTAATTTAATCGTTTTTAATGTTAATCGTTTTTTTGCGATTGTTGTGATGACAAATTAATAACATTATTAAAACCTATACGATTTGTTATAGAGTATTAAATATTTAATATTAAATTACACAGCCAGAGAGCTTTCGCTTGACGTGTGCATGTTGTAAACGTGGAACATAATTTATTCGCCCACTGTTAACAAATCATTGAAGTTAATGCTTTTGATCCCGTTACATACATATGTACATATGTATATTCCTGGCAGAATGCATGCACAAAAGAGAGCGTGAGCGAGAGAGAGGCAGAATCTTAGTTGTGTATTCAGCCAAAAGTGCGCATTGTAAGCGTGGAACATAATTTATTCCTCCACTGTTTACAACTCATTCGCATTGCTTTTGATCCCGTTTAATGTCTGCACTGCCTGCGGACAGCAGGCACAACAAAGCGCGAGCATTGCTAATGGTATGAGTGGGAGCAGCAACACGATGTTGATCCCGTTACCTTAGATGTGTATGCAGCGCTTGCACAAGAAGAGCGCACTTTGGCAGCCTGGGAGTTTTAACAGTCGTGCACTCTGCCTGTTGTTGTTGTTGTATTAGTGTGAGCGCCGGCTTAGCGTGGGCGCTAGCCAAATGAGGCAATTTAGTCAGTGCGCGTCTATCCTGTCGATCGATCGTGTCCTCTGCGCGTGTTTGTTAAATCTTTTGCTAGTACGGTTAATTTAATTTAAAGGTGTTTAATGTGTTTAGTGTGTGCTATGTGTTTTTGTGGGGTAACACCCATGAGTCCTTTATTCATTCGCCGCCTTTAAATTTATATCCAATAATCAGTAAAATGTGCGTTGTGTAATTTTTTGTGCAGAGCTTTTTTCCGCAAAAAAATTTAAGCGGGAAATCCACACTCAGAGAGAGAGAGAATGAGAGAACTGGTAAGCCTGCTTTTGTATGTATGTATGTATTATACAGTTAGGTATTTATCTACATATTTATACGCCTGCTGAGGGTATTATAATTTTGTTTCGAAGTGTGTAACACACACTGAAGATGGCACATAACGCATAACTGCTAAATGTTTGTAAGAGTGTTTCATGTTCGGCGTGCCGAAAAAAGTTACTGCTTGTTTCTCTGCTTTACGTTTAAATATTAAAATGCAAATTAATTTTGTTGACCTGAGTTATGATGATTGGCATTTCAAATACTCAGCGAAATATATTTATTTAATTATTTATCAGTAGGTAACTGAATATTTAACGTATCTATAGGAGAGCATGCTCTATTTGTAACTGCATTGCAGGGTATTTGTTAGTCCACACAGTTAATGTTGTTTATTAATTGCTATTAACTAAGGAACACATGACTTAAAGTGAAAGTCTGCGACACGTCATTGTTTACGCGCAGCACAGAAGCTGAAAATTTGAGAGGCCCTTATCAGTTGGAAGTGTATGAACGTGTTTGCTTCTATACAAATACAAACAAATGTATGTATGTATGTACATATGTATATGTTTTTGGTGTAATACTTTGTTTTGGCATTCGCGATTAGCTGTTTATCAATTTATGGCTGAGCCAGAGACAAACATTGACCTGGCTGAGCTTTTAGTGTCAGCGTAAATCACACAAACGTGTTGAGCACCCTTTAAAGCAGGCAACAAGGCAGTTAGAGGCAGCTGAGTTTGGGGCGGGGCGTGGCAAGGTGGGCGTTTGGCAGTGGGTATTTTTACGGCATTGCCACATTTTGACGGCACCTTTTGGCAGCGCCGGAAGCTGTTGCTGGTTTGTTTTTCTTGTTTTTCTTGCTTTGTTTTTGTGCTTGGTGCGGTTACCCAGTGGCAAATCCTTGGCAAATCTTTTTATTTATGTCATTGATGCCATACACACACACATGAAAAACACACATACATGGCATGTGATTTTGGTAGCAGCCAAGTAAATCCCTCTAATAATCCACATAATAAGCAGCTGGAGAGTCGGCAAACAGCAACAGCTGACAGAAAGGGTTGCTAACCCACCCCCAGACACCTCACCGCCCCCTCCACCACACACACACACACACACACACACACACACACACACACTCAACCTTTCTCTTGTTTATAAGTTCATAAAACTGAACGAGCTGAACGTTTGGTCCGGGGGCTGGTCTGCTGCACATAAAAGTGAAGTAAGAAATAAGAAAAAAAAAGAAGCGAGTGGCAAATCCAATTTCTGTTTGTGGTCTGGGCCAAGTCTCTTTTACTGCGACCAGGGCCATAATGTGTAATTGAAAACCCTGCGCTCCACTATTGCACCCCCGGGGCCCCGCTTCGTACATTTTGTGTGTGTGTGTGTGTGTGTGTGTGTGGCGGTCCCCTCCAAAAACTAATTGGCACAGTTGTGGCCAGCCAAAATGTAAGGTTTATGCTGTGATACTGACACCGCTGGCCATTATGTAAACAAGGCCAAGAGCCAAAAGTCGCGGCGGCAACTCTTGCAAAAAAAAAATAAAAAAAAAAGGGCTGTCGCGCTGCAAATAATGCGCTCAATTTGTAGACACTTTGAAGAGAGCGAATCGCAGACAATTGCCAAACTAAAATGCTTACATACAATTTCCGCTACCGCCCCCTCATTACACACAGCCAAAGGGCGGTTGGGGGGAAGCGGGGGGGGGGGGGGGATTCGGAGCATTTCATCCTTGGCTGTGGCCCAGTTTTTGGTTTGTTTTTTATTTGCCAAGATTTGGCTCGCCAACGTTTTTTCGCCGTCGTTGAAAAACTGTCACAATGATAAACATGCGGCAATTGACGCAATCATTGTCTGTCCATGAATTGAATTAAATCAACTCAAGTGCGACAATCCCGACCCTCCTCCAATCCTCCTTCGTACAACTTTCCAACAATCCTTCAAGCATATGGATAACATGCACTCAATTTTTTTTATATACCCTGCCAAAGGCTATTATAAGTTTAACAAGTGTTGTGTAATGCTCTAAATATAATATTGATCAACCCTTAAGGCGCCCATATTCCTGTTCTAGCTGGTTAATACATATAAGAAGTGTTCCTGTCTATCTGAACTGGGCTCTCAGCTAAGATCTGTTTAAGATATTTGACGCAGGTGTTTCTTTTGGCTTCAAGAAGTATATATTCTACTTTTAACTAGATCGGTTTACTATATCATATGGCTGTCATTGGCATATTTGTTCGAAAATTTAATTTTAGCTTAAAATATCTATTGTTGAATCTTACCAATAATAAATCTTTGTGCGCTTCTAACAATATATGTATATAGATATTATTGGTATAATTATATATATATCTAGCTTTATATATCTAGCTATATATGCTACTACAAAAAAGATGATTCATTATTGTATTTTAATACGAAGAACTCTTTACTATTTTGCGGAGATCTTAAACAAAGTGAGCAACAATATGGCAAAAATAATTAAAAGGAGCTCATGTTTATATCATATAAGTCTGGTAAGTGCAATCAAAGCAAAGTTAATTTCTTGATTTATGAGAAGACTTAGAAAAACTTAACTGTAAATAGTTTAATTATGCCTTAGACACCTCGGCGACCTATCTATTTAAAACATAATAGGAAATGTTCGTTAAGACTTAGAATTTAGTGCTGGGCTCTCACTAAAGATCAGTTGACTATATCTCAAAGCTGCTTAAAGCATCGCAAGTGTATTTAATATTCGATCAAGTATGCTGTTGTTATTCCTTAGATCAGTTTACGTTATCTCAGGGATGTCTAAAGCAGCGCAAGGGTATTCAATTAAGTATGTTGTTGTTTGTTATTCTAAGATCAGTTGGCCATATCTTAAGGCTGCTTATAGAAAGGGTATTTAATATTCGATCAACTATGCTGTTGTTTCTTTTCTTACTTGTTATCCTTTTGTCGGCAAATGAATGGCTTGCGTCATGCACGCGCAGACATTGGAATCAAACTAAAATAAGTATATGGAGTGCTGTGTATCAAATCATATCATACAAATGATAGTCAACCCTTTTGTTCGGCGAGCTGGTGTGTGTGTGTACGTGTGTGTGTGTGCCTGAGGGGGCGTATGCGTAATGCGGCCTGTAATTCCGTTTGATTTTGCTGCAGGACATTAGCGCGGGCTCAACATCGCATTTCGCTTATTAGAATTCGCTTGTGCCGCTGGAGTGTAATAAATTCTGTTGCTCTTGTTGCTGCCACAAGACGCAAACACACACACACACACACAGTCACAGAGAGACACACATCCATGTGCCACACATACGCCACAAGCTACAGCAATTTCAAAGTTTATCACCAAAGCGTCTGCAACTTGTCTCCATCTCTCGCTCGCTCTCTCTCTCTCTCTCTCTCCCTCTCTCTCTGTCTTGTCTGCACGTCTACTGTGGTTATGTGAAATCACATCGTAAAAATGTCCAAGTCCAAATGCTGTGCGCCAAAGCTCATAAGTCCTGCTGCTGCTGCTGCTGCTGCTGCTGCTGCTGCTGCTGCTCCTGTTATCCCCTGCCCCCTGCTGCTGGTCTGCCCGCCCTGCTGTTTGTTGCCTTGTCGTTTCACCTGTCGCTTGGAATTGGCATTAGCGCACAACCCTTTTTTTTTGCTTTTTCTGTTTTTTGGCCTTTCAATTTATAGATGGCGCGCATATAAATATTTATTTCCATGTGCAGCTGCCTACACTTGGCTGGCGCGCAGCACCACCAGCAGCCGCAGCACCACCGACACCACAGACACCACCGACAGAGCATAGTCATGCCTTGGCATCATTATTATTTTTATGATGGCCTTAAAAGCATCGTACTGGGCGATCAATAAACATTCATGTCTGCGCCGTCTCGACTTGCAGTTTTCAATGTTTTTCAATAAGCGAAAGTGCCTTGCCACCAAAACATAACGTGTTGCAAGTTCAGCGTGTAAGTGTGTGCGTGTGTGTGCATGTGTGTGTGTGCCATCAAATAATTAAAGGTCAGCCAA